CAAGGATGATTTGCCAAACCTTAACACACTCAAATTAGTTTTCAAACATTTTGGGTTTGGCAAAAGGCATCTTGCTAAGCCCCCTTTCCCGACATTTTTATACCCATGTGGATTTCGAGGGAAATTTAATATGTATGTTTCTGATTCACTTAGGCTTAACTCAGCACAATTGTTTAGTGAGAGCCGCTCTGTGTCCAAGAATCTTCCAGAATCCTTTCTTTTATAAGCCCCCTTAAACGATTTTCCTTCTAACTAGGAAGTATGTTTTGTCCAGAATAAATTGAGGTCAAACCCCCTCCTCCAAATAATTCAAATTTGGTTCAGAACACAGAATTCTTAAATTTTGAAGAGGGTTGGAAAGTTTGCAAATGACTTCTCATGTAGCTAAGAAGGTCTGGTGGCTGAGAAGTGTGGAGTGTTATGTGTGAGATGCAAAGATTCATGGACTTTGAAACCTAACAGCTGACTCCTGCTTCCTAGACTGAGGGCTGACTGAGCCGCTCCAGGTCTGGGTGACTTTGTATCCACTCTCATCAGCCCTGGGCATTGGCACCTCCCTCAGTGGACTGGAGAGACCAGCACCAGGAGCTAACACCCCCGGACACCACAGGGTAATGGTCTACTTCAATAGTCCTCAGAGGAAATTAGTACTGAGAGGATTCTCCTCCCTGATGGTAGGATCGCACCATCCAGTTTAGGTCATTAAAACTGTGCATGAATCAATGAGACAACTTCATTCATTCCAGGATTTGTCTTATCTTTGGTTTTCAGTGTACTATAAACCTAAGCACAAAATGTTCGGAGCATTTGCTAAAAGTCAAACACGTAAAGATAACAGTAAGATTTTTTAATGTAGCTTCTTCTACACAAAGATGACATCATTATTCCCCTTGAGTTTAGAAGTTTGTTTTTCTAGCCATGCTGGTGGGGCGAGGTTTAAATAACCAGCTGTATTACTTAGAATTAGGTTGGGCCATATACAACAGAAAGTCCCAAATAGCAGCCTGAAATACGATAGGAATTGGCTCTTTGTTCACATGACAGAGATTCAAGGAAAGACTGATTCCAGGGTCAGCAGGGTCCAGTGCTCTTCCTATGAGTCTGGTTCTACTTCCTTACATAACTTCCATTCTAGCAATTGCTTCAAGGCCACAGGATGGCTGCTGGTGACCCAGCCCACACATCTGCGTTTCAGGTAGCAGGAAGGAAGAGACTCTCAGCTACTCAAGTCCACGTAAGAGCTTCTTTGGAAACCCAAAGCAAAGACTCCAGCTTTTATCTCAGTAACCTGCTAAAGTCTGTGGATTAACCACCCCTATCCGCAGGAGAGGCTGGTAAATATGTCCTATCAAACCACATTGCTGACCTCACTTATACTGGGCCACTGTCTTATTTTCTTGCACTGGCAAGAAAAGAGGGAAGAATTAGTTAATTAACCAGCTTGCTCTACTTACCTGCCATGATCTCCTCTAACTGTGTCCAGCTCTTAATCACTACGATTACTGGTAGAAGGTGAACTAGGCAGAAAGCTACAGCAGTCACGGACTTTTGGGCTGGGTGTGAGAGGCCTAATCAAGGCCTGACCCAATGTTTTGAGGTATCTTCTTTGCTTTTATGTACTTAGTTCTCTACTGCTGTCTGAAACAGATTTACCTCAGACCACTTTGGAGGGTGGAAAGCTTCCCTGTCAGTCTTTTTATGTCAGGAAAACTGAGGTCAGATCCCTGCTCCGCTCCCTGAAGAGGAGACACTGTTTTTCTGGCCCAGACAGTCACTTTCCTGAGGACCCTGACTCTCCAGGACAAGGTTTACACCCTGTGGCCTGCACCTGGCCTGGACTCCCAGCTGCTGGGTGAGGTGAGCCACCTGGAAATCTCTGGACAACCCCAGCAAAACTCACACCAGATTTGAAATAAAGTAAAACAAAAAGGGTCTCCATCAGCATCCTAATTCATTACATTGCTCCTGACTGCAATGCCTCTCACAAATGTTCATGTGTTTGACAATGAGCTTAGGCTGAGCTTGGGGGGAGCAGAGGTGGGGTACTAAACTCAACTTTACCTTCAGCTTTTATTCATTGTCCTGAGTGCTCATCAAATCAACAAGCCCACAACACATAATGTCTTGGACTCAGATAATTTGACAGACTGAGGTCAAGCAGCAGACAGTAGCAAAAGCAGAGAGTTGAATACAGAATAAAAATCTTATTCTTACAAGGAAATTTGCAGAGTGACAGTTAACCAGAGAAACCTCTACAAGTCAGAGAGAAGCCAGGGAAACTTGCTAGGTCCCCGGAAGGAAAGCCCGCTAAGAGGAATCCCATTCCAGGAAGCAAGAAAATTAAAACTGCTACATCTACTGCCCTTTCAGCTTATAGGGTGCACCCTTGCATCCTCCAGCTCGACCCTCCCCCAGACTGTAAAGTGGGGAGGAGGTTATGTGATGAAGCCAGGGTGACGAAGCGCCTCCTGCAAGGCACCAGTCAGGAGGTGGCAGAGGCCTGGGGCTCTGAAGCCTGGCAGGTTTGCACGCCCCCCGCCCCTGCCACCCAGCAGCCCACCATGGCGGAAAAGGGTTCTCCCTCCCCACACCCTCTAAGACCACCCCACCCCCCGGGGCCAGGGCCTCAGGGTCTGACCCCTGCACAAGGCACAGCTGGGAGGGATACTGCTGCCATGTGCCTTTGCTGTGCTCTCCTGCCTGGTGACATGAGGCCACAGCTACTCACCTTGGTGGAAGAAGAATGCAGAGGAAGGCAAAAGCAATCCCTCCGCCACGCCCTGCACCACCCACCGCCACACAGTCGGCCTTGTTTCCTCCACGCAGGTGACGTCTGGGGCAAGTATCGGCATGCCTCGACTTACTCACCTCTCACCTGTAAAATGGGGAGAAGAGCATCTGGCCTTCATCTCCCAGCCAGTGGCCAGACAAAGGGAGCAGAGGAAGCCTGCCAGTCTGGGCACGCTGGCAGCCAGGTCCATTCTCCTGACCTGCGTGCGATGGCTGAGGGCCTGGTGTGGCTCCGGGCTCCCAGGGCCCCGTGGGTGAGTGCCACTGGCTCCCAGACCAAACGCTGTGCATCTCGAGGCTGCCTTTGGGTGTGAAGTGAGGCAGCCTGCACTCCTGACGGCACGTCCAGCAAGGTGGCAGTTATCCACCTTGGAACAAGCAGGTTCTCTCACCTTAGAAGAGCAAACCCAAGCCGCCAACCTTCTTGCTTCCACTGTCCAGCAGCTATGGTGCCCACAGTTCCCTACATGCTTTCAGGTGGCATTCAGCCACGTCCCAGAGGACAGGGCACAGCCCCATGTCTTCCAGCAGCTTTCTTTTTGACCCGACTGGTCCTCCAACCCACAGGAAGAATTTCTACCCTCAAGACTGGTCTGCGATAAATCTGCTTTAGGCCAGGTAGCAGCAGAGAACTAAGTACATAAAAGGAAATAAACACATCAAAATACCGGGTCAGGCCTTGACTGGGCCACTCACCCACCCAGGGCTGCTGGACCTTGGTACCTATCTCCCTTCTCCCAGGATCCCTAGGAAACTTGGGCTGGCTATTCAGTTTGCAAAGCTTGCCTGTGGGCCCACCAGCCCAGCCTTCCTGGACACGAGCACAGGTCCAGCCAGGGTCCCTGGTGTGAGGCATCTTCCCACAGGCTTCGAGGAGACCTAAGTGGGGTCCCCTAGACCAGCTGCACAGGACAGGGAGCCAGAGCTGACCCTGCGATGTGCAGAATGCTGAGTGAGCCAGCCTGGAGGTCAGACTCACTGGGGTGGTCAGCCCTGCCCCACCAGGGCCCCCATCGCAGTTCCTGCCTCACCTGGGCACCCTGACAGGCAGCTCCAGTGGCCCCCTTCAGCCCCAGGGGCCAGCAGGTCTGATGAGGGATTTGCAAAGGCTGAAAATCTTATGGAAGTCCAGAAAGACAGCCAGCAGCAAAGCAGTGAGGAAGGAGGGAGGGGCGTGATGGACACCTGAGAAGCCCAGAGGAACGAAGCCCTTGGGGGGAGTAAGGAGCACCCCACTGCAGCCCCTGGAGATCATTCCCAGGAAGAGGCGTACTGGGGGGCCCAGACTACCTGGGGATGAAAGCGCTGCTTGTGCCCTGGAGTTTGTGTGCCGGTCACCATTCCAGAAAGCTGAGGCAGGACAAGCAAGAGGAACTGTCTGCTCCCATATGTCAGCAGGGCCCGGGCAGGTTTCCCAGCGGTGGAGGGGTCCCAAAGCAGCCTCAGGCGGAGTGGGTCATGCCTCTACTTCCCTGAGAAGTTATGAACACCGCGAGGGCAAACGTTTCCACTCTTCTAGCTAAAAACTGCAAAGATGTCCTGTGTTTTGTGTGTGTGAGTGTGTGTGTGTGTGTGTGTGTGTTTCCTTTCATTTGTTCCATCGAGGGGTAACGTATTCATTTTCGAAATCAAAATAATTGCATCCCTGGGCCCGGGCTGGAGTGTGGGAGCGCCAGTGGAGGCTGAGACGCAGCGTGCTCAGGGCAGAGGGGCCGCGCCGCCTCGCCTCTGTCCCTGCAGTGAGAAGTCCCGGGGCCGCGGGGAAATTCCTGGCCGGTCCGCGGAGGGCGCGCCCGCCCCAG